CGTTATGTTGAAATTATATTAAATTGGTAATTTCGTTGAGTATTATATTAATTTGTAAAAGTTATTGTTATATTACTTGATAAGAATTGATAATCTAGATGTGAATTGCTTGAGGGGTGTGTAAACCCTTATTTTGTTGGATCTATCTGTTGTGTATGTAATGTGAAATTATGTATGTGATATGGAGCTATGAGATGAGATGTTGTGTGGATTGTGACGTGAATATGGTTCCTCACACTAATGACTAGGGACGGCACGACCCCAGGGTAAGTGATGCTACAGGGAGGGCGTGACCCTGGTATGGTGTGGGTTGAGTGAGGTAATTAACCCGTATCACTTGTGTCAGATGTGGCGAGGTCTTGGCATAGTGTTAATTGTAAGATTGGCGTGAATTATAGATGTGGAAATGATATTGTTAATTGTAAGATTTATGTGGATTGTGATAGATTGATGTGATTATGATTGTGATGTGATTGTGGTTCCTCACACTCATGCTTCAGGGACAAGCGCACCCCTGGATGATCAGGGATGATACAAACCCTGGGTAGGTGATGCTTCAGGGACGAGCGTACTCCTGGATGATCAGGGATGATACGAACCCTGGGTATGTGATGCTTCAGGGACGAGCGTACTCTTGGATGATCAGGGATGATACGAATCCTGGGTAGGTGATGCTTCAGGGACGAGCGTACTCCTGGATGATCAGGGATGATACGAACCCTGGGTAGGTGATGTTTCAGGGACGAGCGTACCCCTGGATGATTAGGGGTGATACGAACCCTAGGTAGGTGATATTTCAGGGACAAGTGTACCCTTGGCATAGGGTGGGATGTGTGAGACAATTAATACTTATGCCGGGGGTGGCACGACCTTGGGCAAGAGATGCTATAGGCGTGACCTTGGCATAGCCTTGATTGCAAGATTTGTGATGATTGTTGTGATTGCGAATTGTGACGTGATGATAATGCGTGATTGATAAAGTTATGATACATTGAAATGTTTATGAATATTTTGTTAAGTATCGAGTTATAATGAGATGATATGTTGTGTGTTTGTATGTACTTTACATATAGATGTTTTCTTTTCTCACCGTACAATTTTGTGGATGTTTTAGGTGAGGAAGATCCGGCTGCGAGTGGCATCTAGAATGCCAACAGTTAAATTAGGGGTATGCTCTGATATTGTGACATCGGGGCAGAGGACTTTTAGGACAGAATTTTTATATGGATTTGGAATTGTAAATATCATTTTGAAAATAATTTGTAAACTTTTGTGTTTCATTTTCTAAATCTTTAATATTCTGGTTATTGAAGAACGATTTTTGAAGTTTCTCATGTGAACCCTTTTTACCGAAATTTAAACATTTATTTGTAAAGTTACAATATATGTGTTGGGATAGTAAAGGTGTCACAATTATCAACTAATTTTATTAAATACTTTTAATTCAATCAATTAACTTATAAACTTTCAACTTTTCAAATCTTAACTTTATATGCTAATTTTATCATTCACATCGTAAGTTAAATCGCTTGGTTTTATAGTCTTAGACTGTATAAAGAGAATTATATTGACTTCCATCTATTGTTGCATGAGAGTGGAAAACCACTTTCAAGTTTCAATTCACTTTGATGGTTTTATAGTGGCTGAGGGTGGAGTGGTTGAGTTGTTATCCACTTTAAGTTGTTTTTTTGTTGTTAGTTTACCATGCAAATGTGAAGTGAATTTCATTTCAAAGTCTCAAAACTACACAAATACATATCCTCAAACATCCAAGTTGTGCATAGAACATATGTAGTTCACAAAAGAATTGAATTTAGAATTTAAGTTAAACACGAGATGAAGTTTTCTTATTCAAATTTAGGAAATTAGAATGAATTAGGATGAACAAATTATCTTATTAAGTGTAATATTTATTAACAAAGGAATGTATAAGAATCAGAGACGCGGAACTTGATATAATCTAGAAATATGGAAATAAATGCAATTAAGAGTCTGCTTGTTGGTTTTTAGAAAATAAAAGTGACAAAAGATGTGAAAGTGTAAGGAAAAAACATGAGCAATATAAAATTGAAAATATAAAACCAAAACAACCGAAAGAGTTTTGGTTTTAAAAAACTATAAAAGAGATATTAGTTTTGAAAACATTTTTAAAAATTAGGTTTCTCACATGTATCCTTCTTTGGCGTGGGAGCTAGTGTCTTCCGTTAGACTTACTGTTGTTGGTAAAAGTATTTTTATTTAAATAGGTTTTAGTCCTTTTAAAATGAAAGGAGTTTGGTCCCACTCAGTGGCAAATTTTTGGAGGCGTCAAATTAATTTATTTTTATATAAATTAAATTTATTATTAATTAAAAAAATAATAAATTTTTTTTATTTTTTCTACTCAAAATAAACATGCATGATAATAAAATAAAAAAATATTATTATTCACTAGTCATTTTATATATATAAAAAAAAATTTAAAAAGTTTTGGGGAGCCATGGCTCCCCCATCCCTTAAAAGGTTTGCCACTATATAGTTTTTTTTTTAATTATTGCTTTTGGTCCTATAATAAAATAAAAAGTTTTGGTTTTGGTTCTTATAAAATAATTTTGATTGATTTTCAACTTTCTAAAATTTAGGATCACTATTTTTTGTTTTAATATTTATTTTTTAAAATAAGTAAATAATATTTATTTTAGATATCTTAATTTCTTTTAGAGGTATTAGAGGTTGATATCACAATACATATACTATTATGTGTGATCTAAAACGATTGTTCTAAGCAATAATGATGTACTGTCCCATAAGAATTGTAGGGATAAAAAAGTTTTTCAATTACAAAAGAAATAAAAAAAATATGCGATCCAAAATTAAAATTTTCTCATTTTATAAGAATTAAAACCATATTTAAGTCAACTATTTACCTAAAACAACTTTTATGTTCTATTTTTAAAAGTAAAAAAGTTTTTTAAAAAGGAACATAAAATTATCAATGATTCATTGAGTACTAGACTAAGTAAAAAGATATCTACCAATAAGTTATTGGTCCAAATGATACTAGATTTTGTTCCTTAATGAGGATGAAAAAAGGAACCTAAATTATCAATGATCCATTGAATATCAGACTATAAAATGTTATATTGTATGTATAGCGCCATGCATGCAACCAAATCTTAATAAATAAATATCAACAATAAATACATTAATTTGAATAATATTGAATTATATTTTACTTAAATAAGTAGTTGAAAAAAATATGATTAAAGATAAAATTCTAACAAAAGTATCAAACCAAATTTTTTAAATAAAGATCATTGATCCATAAAATCAATAAATTAATATTTCATACAATAATATAGTTTTAGGTGGGTGTATTGGTTTAGGATTTCGTAGGATTTTAAAAGACTTTTTTTTGAGTAAAAAAGTCCATTGGTATTCAATCAAGATTTTATGTCACTTAAAACCAATCCAGTGGTATTCAATATGGATTTTCAAGATTTTTTAAAGAGTCCATTAAAATCCATTGGTATTTTGAGATTTTTTACAACTTAAAAACAATCCATTGGTATTCAAAAATATAATAATTTTAAAGGATTGTTGTGTGAGAGGGATTTTGAAGGACTTTCTAGTGTTATCTATAAATACCAAATTCATAAAACAATCCCATCCAAATCCATCGGATTTTGAAGGATTGTTTGAAGTGACTTTTCAAGAGAGTTTTTCATTTTTTTTCTATGCTTTTATCTTCTCCATTTTTTCTGTGCTAATAATATTGCACTATTGTTCATTGTTCATATATAATATTGTAATACTGTTCTCATCCCATTCCCCTATTTTGTGAAACTCTGATATGTAAATGATAGTGTCATTGACTTGCTCTATTTTTCTGTTCGTTCTTTTTAATTGACTTGCTTTATTTTATTATATGTAGTTGAATTTATTCCTTTTATATAACACAAAAAAATGCTTGAAATTTCAACTTTTAAGTGGTAATTTTTTTTATAACACACGTCAAGAAAAGAAAAATGTGAAAGATGAAATTGATATCATAATCTCTACAATATATATATATATATATATATATATAAGATGATATTGTTAAGGTTTCTATGAGTAGAATGAGATGAAAATGGATATTAGTTGGGGGAAGAACTCTCTCAGCATAAAAATTGCGATCTTTCTCCTTCCCTTGAATTTGTTACTCTTATCCCTCCTCCTTTTATGACTCAACGATTATTTTATTTTTTTTACTATGAATTTTTCTTTTTACTTTTATATTGTGAAATTAGGATTTTTTTAATATTTAAAAAAAATTAACATAAGACATTGCAGTATCTAATTTTTTAAGGTTTAGGGTTTATGCCTCCATTAACTTATTTTAAAAAAAGGAAATATTGTTAAAATATTTGTTAGAATAATTTACATTTAGAAACATTGTTAAAAAATTATCATATAATATATAACTAAAATACTAATATAT